AGTGTGACAAACTCGATATTTAGTATATACACTCACACATTTCCTTCTGCTGTACATGGAGTTTAAAATATAATCATCTTGAAGAGAAAGGGGCTGATTCAGCCAGTGAAAGTTGGCCACATTTATGCTTAGTAAATTTAGTAACAATTTGAATCTCTTGATAATGTCTTTATTATACTTTACCCAGGTTTTTGCACTCTGTCAGGATCTCTCGGGTCACTTGGAAGCTCCTGCTGATGTAGGTATCGTAGGACTCTGACACTGCCAACTTACTTACAGGAATATGAGGTCTGCGGACAAAATTGTACATCACTGAAGTTATAGTCAATTGTAGCATCACATAAAGATGATATAGCGTTCGAGTTGCTGTGTATACCTGTATGTTGTGTCCACACTCAGGTTAGCAGCAGCCAGCTCAGCTGGGGGGATCCACGTAGGTAAACATGTGCCTGAAACCCACTTGGTCCATTCAAACAATCCAGGCTCCACACGGATTTTTGTCTTTGCCTCCTGCTGGAGACCTGTCACAGAGCAGAACAGAGAAAGAAAGCATCAGAGAGGAACATATTTCTGCGAAATAATTGTGCAGCTACTCTGTCATTTTGTCTTGATCTTTTTTTTACTTTTACAGAAAGACAGTTGGTGTATTAAGAGTAATTCTGTTGTTTCCATGTGTCCTCACTCAGTAGCATGACAGGACTTGGAAGAGTCTGACAAAGAAAATGATTCCAAAAAGTTTAAATATATATATATATTTATTGAGTGTTTAGTTGAAAAAAAAAAGTAGGCTGAAGTGTAAATAGCTGGGAAAAAGATGTCAGCGCTCCTGCCAAACCTCTTTCTTTTCCAATCCATTTTGTTTCCTAATGATGTCTCTAGGTACCACTGAGGTTTTTCTTGGAATTTATTAAGGGGTTTATATAACTAGACAAATCCTACTGTGATCCAAGTTAAACTTAAGGTTTCAGGTCCAATACTGACACTAAAAATCCTACATTATCCTGTGGCAGTAGCAATTTTAAATATGCCATACCAGCTGAAGAACCGGATTAGAGGCTGCGGATACAGTATTGATGTGAACAACGAGGATGAGGTCTTACCCTGCACAATGTGCTGAGCAGTCTGGATGCAGCGAAGAGAAGGAGAGCAGTAAACAAAGTCTATCGTCGTGTGGCTTTCTAATAGGGCTTCACCTGTGAAGGGCCAAAACACAGGGCAGGCATCTTAAACGTTATATAAGTAGGGAAACCTAATCTCACCTATATCTAACGATCCTTAAAAGCTTACATTCTTTAGTAACTTTTCACTGTTAAACAACATCAAAATAAACACAAATAAAATGTGCTGACCTACAAGACGTGCCTGGGTGGAGCCAAACACAGTAATTGGACAATCTTTATCGTAGTCGCGGTGACCTCCGCTTCTCGCTGGGAGGCTGGATGGCATGTTGAGATTAGAGCGAACGTATCGACCTACACGACGAAAGAAGGAAGTCAAAAGTGTCTCATGTAGGCCTTTCACATGAAAATGTAATCTCTCCTGAGTGCCAACCTTTGGAGTCAAAGCACTGAGTGACCCAGTGTTTGCCGAACACCACGTCCATCCTCTCGCCATGGCGACACACAAACAGCCTCATCTTAGACAGGGACTGCTGACCGGTGGGCCTTGACACCTAAGATTAAGATTAACTTTAAATTGCGAGGCATTAAAGACACAGCACTAATCTTAAGCTCCTGCTAGAAGCCCACACAATAATTACTGCCATTAAAGACCCCCTCCGGTAAAAATCAAGTTGTTTACCTTCTTAACATGCCCATATAGTGGCGGTTTATATTCTAGAAGGCACATCGTGGGTGAAATAAGCAGTGACTGAGTATTTCCACACTGAAACTCTATCGATGACGGTCTCAAAACACAGACTCAGGTTTCTATGGTTTCATATGGAATCATTTCTTAGGAACTAAACCTGTCAGCTTGCAGGGTGAGGCTTTCTGGATCATTACTCAGAATCGGTTTCCTGTTCAAACATGTATGGCTGAATTTCTCCAATATTACAACTTGCTATTGTGTATTCTGGAGCAGCTTTACAGTGTTTGGGAAGAGTCTTAGGTGAGCTGGTGTGCTTGAGCAGTGGCAAGAGATGGAGGGGTGGGTGGAGAAAGGAAGGAAGCCATGGTACAGATTTACATTTAAGCCATTTCAAGGCAAGAAGGGGGTTATTTTAATGGGAAAAACATCTAAGTATATAACTTTGTTAAGTTTTTAGGGGTTAAAATAAGTGACCGGAGAGGGGCTTTAACAGCTCTTATAGAGATGCACAGCGTTATTAGACAACAGTGAGGTTTTGTTTTTATTTTTAGCATGCAGACAAATATTACATTTTCACTCTGCTGTACCTGCATAGGAGGACAGAGGCCGGTGAGGCTGGGAGGATCCACAAGACTGTCAAGTAGACTGTCATTCAGCTGTCCATCGAACAATAACCCACCCACGGTGCTGCCAGCGTTAGATGGAGAGGCACAGTTGAGAAAGGAGTGAGACCTGGGGATCAGACAGAGTTTAATCATTCAAAAGGCTTAAAATGCAACACAATTTATCCGCAGCGTCGATGTGTACTTGTGTTGCAGGCTTCCCCTCCTTACCCATGGACAACCCATGTATCGGACTCATCAGCACGGTTGACGTAGTTCTCAGGCAGCAGGCCGGACAGCCCCGTGCCCAGAGAAGTGCCGTACACCCAGCCCTCACTGGCTGTGGTCTGCTCCACCGGGGACATGAAGATGAAGTCTCCTTGCACCAGCTCGAGCTCATCATCATTCTGAGGCACATACGGGTACATGACTTGCAGTGTCTAGAGGGGGAAGACGGTTAACAGCCATTAAGACGGTGCCCAGAGCTACAGCTGAGGGGGAGGAAACATGCTTGTTAAGACGCATCTCAAAAGGGAGAAGGCGTACCTCATGATTAGCGAACCGAATATCCCTGGAGAAGAGCACAGCCAGCCAATCGCAGCCTGAAGACGCATCCACGTTTTTGGCCAACTTCTCCAAAACTGGAAGGTGACTTGTTTGAAAATGGTAAGCCAAAGTGACGTGAAGCTGTTTCTTATGGGGCTCCACGTGAACATCTGGAGGAAGAGTTGTGAAAGAAAAGAAAAAGAGTCATGTCATATGTACACGATGACATGCACACACTTGTAGAAATGGTGTCATGGTGTGATGGAAAATCTGGTGTCATCTGGTGCTTTGCTCATTCCACAAAATTGATAAATGCAATTAGTTCACAACTGCCCACATATCAAGTTATACTGCATAAAGCTAAACACATTGAATATCCTAAAGAGTGCCTCTTAAAGGGATGGTTTTACATTCTGGGAAATGTGTTTGTTTACATTCCTGCACTGGGCAAGTTGACATGATTAATAATATCATATTTGTACTTACGCCAGGAGACGGTTAGCTTAGCACAAAGACCGGATGCGACAGAATGTAACTAGCCTTGCTCTGTAAAATCCACCTTCTAAAGTTCATGAAATACACAAAGTTGAGCTTTTCATGTGTTTGGTTAAATGCTGGAGCATTTCTCAGCCAGCTGCAGTGGCTTCCTGACGTTTCTGCTAATTGCCAGGCAACTTCATCGTTCAGACTTTATTCCTAATTCTGGGATAAGCTAACCCTCTCCTGAATGTAGCTCCTAATACACCAGACAGACAAGAGAATAGCATTGATCCTCTCGTCTAACTCTCAGCCAGAAAGTGATTAAACAAATTCCCCAACATGTCAGTCTGTTCCTTTAAATTGCATAATTCGTGATCAGTAATTATCGTATCTGCAAGTCAGTGGTCATGTGTGATGTGATTTTTAACCAAAGGGACGCAGGCGACTCAAACCTGCTTTGGAATGCGCCTCAGTGGCAAAATCAGCAGCAAAGTTCTTCAGGACTTCGGCCATCTGCTCCTCCACAAAGAGGCCGATGAATGTTGTGGAGGTGTAGAGCTCCAGGGGGAGGGGCATGGGGATACGACCCTTCCAGTTGGTCACGGTGGTCTGGAGGGCGTCGCACAGGGCCTCCACCTTCCCATCGGCACACTGAGCACAGCGGAGACAGCAAAACGGTGAACACTCACTCATTATAACAGACATGTAAATACTAACATGTGTATGGATGCATATACAGATGTTCAGAGTTCTGTCAAAGTTTGAGGCGCTTGAGATGTTTGGATTCTTCTCTGTCATCAAGAAGGTGTCTGATTGGTCCCAAATTCAAATGTTCAAAGAAAGTCATAAAGAACTATCTTTAGCAGGAAAAACCAGAAGTCCTACAGGAGGCGGTGTTGCTCCTACAGCACTCTTAAGATCATCAAGTGAGTCATGGGGTTACATGACGTAACAGAAGGCAAGGGAGCTGTTTAATTCACAGAAAAACTGTGACAAGTTATCCAAGATACCTGGAACAACCAACCAGCCAAGCATCAAGTAAAACACTGTACATATGTGTACCTGAGTTGATCCTATTTTAAAGTCAAAGGGACCAAAATCAAACCAAATATTGATTTGATTTAGGTCCTCCATATGGAACTATTCTGCCTCATTTCATGTTTAGGGCCAAAATCCTTTGTTATTTTTATTATTTGTTTATTTTATTTTAAATGCTATTATTTGGCTCACAGAGAATCTAATTCCAATGCAAACAGGCAGCATTTGTACGATGATCAACGGCAGTTATCAGGGTTCACTGTCTGGTAATCACCAGCGTCTGTGCAGAATTTTGTGCCAATCCATGAAGCTGAAGCTGGAATGCTGGTTGCATTAGAGGAAAAGTTATGCAAGTTATTAGGATTCATCTTCTAGGAAACCATGTTTCTCTGGAAAAAATGTCCAAAGTGTAGCTGTTGAGAAATTTCAATCTGGACCAAAAGTGGTGCAACACCCGACCTACTGAAGTAACCATCCTTAGAGTTGCTAGTGTAAAAAAACTCAACAAAACAAACCCTGCAACATATTTTTTAAAGTTCAAAGTCTATGACAGCAAATTCCAGATAAAAACTTCACAAAGAGGAACTTGGGTCACAAGTTGAAACTCAGAAGGAGGGATTTGAAGACTACAAAGAGACTATGGGAGGTCAGCCAGTTCAGCAAACTCGCAATATGTGCTGTGTTTGCAAAGATGATTTAGTTACTTTTCTTTTAGGTTGAGCATTAATACCACTTAATATTGTAGGAATTATTATTTAGCCAATACTATACCACAACCAGCGCAACAGAGATCTAACAGCCTGCAATGTATAATGCATAGAATTAATGTGTTAAAGCGACATGTATTTAAAGAAATAATGCACCTCCTCATGCATGAGTCCTAAGAATCACGGGTGAGGGTTTCATTTGCACACTGGCTACATTAAGTGAGGCTCAAACGATTAATTTTCTGTATTCTGGTGAATTTTTACGCTTCTTCTGCATCAGTTTATGGTGAAAATGTCCATGCTTATATAGAAAAAACACAGAAATCCGGCACTAGGTGACAACTAAAAAAAAAAAACAGACTATAATCAAATGTACTTATTCAATACTATTCCTGCTATAATATTATATTATCTACTTTTTTGTCCTCTTTTGTAGTATTTGTTTGGGGAAGCAACCTCTGTAAATGTGGAACCTCCTCACACCAATGATAAATTCATTCCCCTGGACTTTATTATCTCATGTTCAATAGTTTCTGCACATTTCAGAACTTATCACACATGTTATTTTTGATAACCATGTCCTATGTTATTGAAGCTGACTGAAAACAAGAACTAAATATGGATCAAATCTGTTTAAGTCTATAAATAACTGTGGAGAGAAAAAAAAACAACACTTCTAAACTTGCAAAAAAAAAAATCCCTAGTGGCTCATAACTTACTTTGAGAATTCTTGAGAAAAAAAGCATGTCAGTGGTTATCAGGTCTGCCTGCATGTGCACTGCACAAGAGGAAGAGATGCTGAGCTGCTGCTTACAACACTGTGTGTGTGTCTGAGTGTGTGTGGCAGGAAGACTTGCCACAAAAGACTCAGAGGTCGTGTGAGCTTACTGATAATTAATAATAAAGACCCATTGCTGAAAAAAGACCAGCCCCTGTTGGAGACACTGTTGCGTCTATGAGTAACATTACAGGAGTTTTACTAAGCAAATATACTTGTTTCCTACATTTTTTTACGGTTGGCACCAATTGCCTTTTTCTGACTGTGTGCCGGCAGGTTGAAACTGACCATGAAGAACTGGCACAGGGTGATGTGGGGGAAGATGTTGTGTGCCTTGTTTTTGCCGCAGGAGAGGCGGGACTGCTTCCAGAAGTGCGAGAGCTGCTGGAGCAGCGGTCCGCTGGGTCGCAGATACAACACGTACTCTCTGGGCAGAGGGTCGTCCAGGAAAGGGTCGTCCACATGGGAGAAGAGCCTGGATGGACCAAGAGATAAGGAGAAAAGATGAGCGCTAACGTCCAGCAGAGGGCAGCACTGTTGTGACGGCACAGTGGCTCCTGTTGACTTTGGTCGTAGATGTTTACTAGTGCAAGACTTTCTATTTGATTTCCTGTTAAGCATTAATAACTGTGAGAAAGAATGTGAGTGAATGTGTGCGCCGCTCTCACCAGTCGCAGGCTGCCTGGACGTTTTTGCCGCCTGTGGAAACGAGAGCTTTCAAGCTGCAAAGAGAAAGAGAAAGGGAGATCAAAGCAGAGTCGAAAAAAATCAATATGTTCTCTTCCGGACCATATTTATTAGGAGGCTGTGCTTCCACGTGACAGCGAACAAAGAGCAAACATCCCGAGAGGGCAGTAAAATGACAACAAGCACGGAATAATTTGTAACAGAAGTTCATTATTCATACCAGAGCTTTATAAAAGAGCGGCGATACTGATCTGAAACAGCCTCATTCCTTGTTATCATGTACCAGTTAAGAGTGCTCATCTACTGGGAGATGCAAATCCGTTGTATTCGGTACGTTAATGTGATTCTGTTAGAAGACATTCAGCCCATTATTCAGTAAAGACCACGGTGTGAGAGCTGCTGAAGCAGATCAGCTCACAATCTCGCCACAATATGAAGACCTCCTACGTATGACAGAACAGCGTTTTAATGAAGCTGACATTAAAAAGAAGAAAGGCAGCGTCCATGCCCTGAAACATGATTTATCTGTGTCATTTCATCAACTTCTTAAGACTTCTTCCTGAAACAAGAGGGAGCTGCCTGCCTGATTACTCCTGAGTGCTCCAAATCTAATTAGCCTCTTTTTTTTTTCTATCAAACCTCTGCTATAGCAGCAGGCCTCTGAAGGGATTCACTGATTCAAGAAGCCTTCTTCAGTTCTGAGAGGACCAACAGAGCATCTACATGTGACTTTAATTTTGCAGGTTTACAGCCGCACCATCCCTGCCTGACCTTCTTTCAGTGAATCAGCACATTATAAATCCAACACACTTACAGCCCCATCTGCAAAAATCTGGCACACAATAGCACAAACTTAATGTTATTAAATTTATGTATTATGGTAAGAGCTGCTGGCAGCGGTGAGGGTGTGTGTGTGTGTGTGTGTGTGTGTGTGTGTGTGTGTGTAACTCAAGTTTCACAAACAGGTGTCTGTTTATCCGCTTAAAAACTTCTTCATGCTTTTCTATTCTCAGTGCAGACATGACTGAAGCATTCCAGGAACACCTCAGTACGTGTGTGTGTGTGTGTGTGTGTGTGTGTGTGTGTGGTCATTTGCTTTTGCGATATTAAAAAAATGGCTTCCTGGAAAATAACAAGAAAAAAAGTGATGTTTTGGTGCGTGACTAATTTCTATTCATTATTCTGTTCTATTCTTTACTACTGACCTTTTGCACATTCAAACCCACTTGTGAAGTCTAAAGAAGTGTCTTCTTTAAAAAAAAAAAAAAAAAAAAAGCATGAAAATTAGATCAATTATAAAATATTATCTATTGTATTCATTATGTAATTGTTGCAGTTTGGATTTTCAAACTGTCTTTAAACTAATCTTGTGATTCAGTCTGGAAAATGCTCCAACTTTAAGCTTTAAGTCGTGACATCTATTTAAAATCATTCTATTCTATATGTCCAGTTTGAAAATTGGGCAACAATAAAATGTTCCCTTTACTTAGATTCTGAGGAATAGAAAACATCCTATGCTCCCCACCGCAACTGTGACTCTATCTGAGACTTGGCTGCAACCAAACATCATGTGACACAGATTCAAGGACTTTTCCACTGAACTGGACCAACAGAGACGATAAGACACAAGACTGGAAACTAATTCCAAATGTTTCTACGCTATGTAGAGCAGCAACTAACAAAATTAAAATCCGCAGATGAGTCAATAATGAAAATAAGCCCTCGCTGCAGCCTGAAATTGTATTTTCTGTTGATGAGTTAATGGTTTACAGTAGGTTTTAAAATCATTTTAAAGTGACAGCTTCAAATGGCTTTATACAGAATAGAATAGAATAGAATAGAATAGAATAGAATAGAATAGAATAGAATAGAATAGAATGCTTTTATTGTCATCATACACAAAGTACAATGAAATTAAAAGACAAAGTATCTACAAGTATAAAAAGACAAATAAGAATATATAAATATATTTACAAAAGGAGCCAGTAGAAGTATATACAGTTGGGTGTGAGCATGGTAAGAGCCAAAACGGTAGAATAAATATATTGCACTGATGATTTTATCTGACCAACAGTTTGAGAAGTGGCTAAAGTCTATCTAACCACAGTTTTGTTCAAAATCATGTTTTGGTTTTGAACATCTCCTGCTTCCTGCTGCCACCACGACCCGACCCCGGATAAGCGAAAGAAAACGGATGGATGGATGGATGGATGGATGGATGGATGGATGGATGGATGGGTGGATGGTATGTAGAGCCACCACTTTTTCCAGTATTGGTAACATCTGAGAGCACTTGGAAGAATATTGTACATTTCAAGTTTGCTACATTTTTGTAAAATATATAATTGAACAAATTAATCAAATGTTTGGTTTTTTTCCTTATGATTCCTGTCATACTGCTAAAAAAACACTTTGAAGTACAAATGATATGAACTGCTCAAGGTTCAGAGGATTAAAGCTAGAGTACGCAAAGTATATCAGGAGTAATTTTAGTTTTGTTTGTTAAAGTTTTTTTTACATTCTGATAGCAAGCAACAAACCAAGCCTTCATTGTATTTGGTGAGATGACTAGATGTCCTACCTGCTACCTGTGCACACTCTGTCCATGCACTCATTCATGGAGGAGAAAGCAGCCTTCACTCCAAAAACTGCTTGATCTCATGAGATCACTGTTGGATAAATCAGACCAAGTTAGATGAATCTAACTGGGATGTGCTGAGCACAGTGAGCGACTCTGCGCAAGCCTGGCTCAGTTTGAACAAATCCACTGCTAGAGCTAGCGAAGCCGATAGCACGAGCATGGCAGACAAATGCAGCCACGTGTTTCAGTTCCATCTAAACCTGTATAATTTGCACTGCTACACAAAATAATAAAAGAAAGACAGTAGCAGAAAAGACTGCTACAACTTTGGATAAATCAAGAGGACAAACCGGTATGGTCAGTTGGTTTTTCCACAATGGCACCATCTACAGGAGTCAAAGGGCATGAAAGTGATGCTATGGTTGCTCTTTTTATGTAGACAGGTAATTATCTGGTTTTTATCTGGAGTTTTGTAGGAGTGGTTGTGGACCCAGTCCTGCATGGAGGGGGTGGGGTTCCTTTTGTTGTATATGATTCCTAAGCTCCTGCCTACTGTAGCTTTAAGCAACAGAAAATGCATTTCGACTATCTGCACACTGTCTCTGCAGTATTTAACCTTTCAGGCCATGCAATTCCATCTCCTTTCAGCTGAAGCTCTTTGTGCATTATGTGAAACTAAAGCCCCAAGTCAATTAATCACTCACTTACTACATGAGACAACAATAAAAACAAAACCTCCATAACAACGCCGGTGCTGTCCCTACAGACAGCACTGCTTGTCACTTCTCTGAACGGCCGCTGCAATGAACCGAAAATAACAAACCACCGACTGATAAAACTGAATAAGCGCTGTTTACAGAGCCATTGTAGGGCCACTTCATTTATACGGACATGTGGCAGCGTCGCCATGAGTGACGCCGTTGACAGCGTTCATTGTGCTGCTCTAGTGTTCAAATTCAATGAGCTATTTTTACATTTGTCCCACTGAGAGGGTCCTAGATACGGCGAAGTCCCTGAACCCTGGGGCATCGTGCCCTGACAGAGCGCAGCGTGAGGGATGGGAAGCCTACAGGATCATAACAGATGGCTCACACAGATCTACTACATCACCCAGATTTATATTAAATATCCGCAGTCAAAACTTGGATTAGAGTCTTCTGTTCATTTACCTGAAGTGGCCTACGACAGTCATATGATGGATATGACATTTTACCAAATTGATCCATTTTTATTCTGGCAGTATGAACCGCCGCTACATGTGGACGGCTTAAGACAGAGAGTCATTTGTTGGCTGCAGCCGTCTTATTCAAAGATTCCACCTGGTGCTGTGTGGAGGAGGAAAAGTAGGGGATTTTCTCTCAGAAGGAATGATGGGATTACATGCAGATGTGACTGAGACGTCACAAAATCCAATCCAGGCTAGAACATTGGATTGCCTGCTTCTTATCTCTGCGGTATTTTATGAGAGTGCACCCTTGTGACATGAAATAATAGCAAAAGGTCTTAGCAGTATCACCGAGCAAACTCACATACATGATGCAACAGTGCTTAAATTTAATCTGTTCTTTTTTAGGCTCCTGAAATGCCTCGAAACCCTGTTCCAGGTATTAATAATAATAATACAGCAGGAGATAAAGAATGGTGTTGCTTGCCATTTTTACTCTGTGACACGTACTTTTCAGCAGGAGGGTAAATAACAATAAAACAAAAGAGTCTTAAGCATTGTTTTTAAAATGTAACGCAGGAGGGCTGGAGTTTAAGCTTCAGGATTAAACAGTGAACGTGGATAAATCCATAAGAAAACGACATTGTGCCGTCTTTGGCAACACCTAGATAATGTCAAAACATACATGCAAATGATGTTGACAGCAAAATAGCTGTATGTAATCAACCCTACCTTTGATAGTTTCCTGCATTATTTTGCATAGTGGCCTCCAGTGTGTCAGAGAAATGTCAACCTGTGCAGACAGGAAGCTCAGAAGACTGACAGCGAGTCCTAAGTGACATGAAAACACTAAAGGAAAGGCACAGATTTTGCCAGACAACATGAAAGTTGGTAGCAAACACCGGACGTGTGCATCCGCTCGCAATCAGTCCAAGTCAACACGATACCTGCCGTCTGGTTGAAGAGGGGCGTCTATCAGACGGGTCAGCGTGTTGCACAATATAGTAACGTCAACCACAGGCCACCTGCCTCTGCATCCTCTCACACAATACAGACTAAGATTCAGACAATTTCCTTCTGATTTCTGCCTCTCGACCTGATTTATTGTCTTTGTTGTCTTAATTTAAAGAAGACGAGAGCAATATTTATTATCTTTAGAACATACATACGCATAATTAAGCAATCTAAGTTATTACTGCTCTATAGGAAACATTTAAAACTTTCCAAGTTGTTAAGGTTGCAAATGTGCTGCAACAAACCATAATCCCCCCCCTGTGGTATTTAAACCC